TTTCATTTGTATCTTTGCCACTCAGATATGCATCGGAAAAATGGCCTTGCAATTCTTATGTAATTTTAGTCACGAAATACAGTACCTCGCAAAGAAATATGGTGAATCTGAGAACAGTTACGATTGTTGTTTCAACGATTACTGTACACGTATAAAAGAATGACTAACATGATATAACAGAAAACAATGACTAACATTACGCAGCCTTTGTTGTACTTTTGAAGCAAATTTAACAATTTTCAACAGAGGTAGGTAGTTCTCATTATTAAGTATCTCCATATTATAAAAACCGCGATTCGATTTCAAATGTATATTTGCTAAGTTTTCACCAAGTTCACCGATCACGTCTAGTTTTAAAATAAAATTTTCATTAGAACAAAAGTACAGGGCTGACGGTGCTTCATTGTTTCTTTTGATGTCACATTCTTACACAGTCATCGACTATCATGCGTCCGTCTGTCGGTTGTAGCTCTTTCAGTCCCCAATCGAGCAAATGAGATGGCATACAACGCATCTTGGTCCCCTGGTGAGGAACTGATACATTTTTTCAGAGTACATACAAAAGGTTATAGGAAATTTCTTAAATACATATTTTTTTAGATGTTTTAAGCAACTCGAAAGCATTTTGGCATCTATAGATATGGTCACAAGCTCATTTGATTCCTGCTCAGACAAATAGATTGGCACAATTCTTGGGCGGTTCCCTTTAAGATATTCTGGAAGAATTCCAGGAAAACAGGTGTTTTTTGTTGTTTTGTAGTATGGGGGTTAGTTCGCAAAAAACATGTCTTGGAATCGTGTAATAAATATTGCCAGAAGATTAAATAATTAAGAGAAAGTTGTCTGATGAATGAAAAAATGATACATGTCTTACATAATACATGAATTATGTCGATCCTTGATATTATTTTAAAATACGGAAAAAAATATAATTAGTACATTGGTCTTTTGAATATTTCCAGGGAAGAGAAAGTTTCGAGAATTTTCGTCTGTTGGATACTGCGTACGTTTACGTTTTTTGTGGCACACAGATAAGTCTTAGAACTCGCAACGAGAACTGAAAATGTGCAGATCGTCAACATTTGAATTCGGAATTCTGTTTTATTTTCTTAAGGCTAGTTAAATAAATTTGATTTCCCGAAGAAATTTTGATGCTAAAGCAGCATTGTTTGTATTGTTTCTCGTTAGTATTAAAAAGCAAATAATCTTGAGTACATGGATATAAAAAATGTTTTGTATGTCTTTCACTTTTTAGGGCATTGATTTACAATGAATTAGACCTTACCTTTCTCTTTGTTACTGATTCATCCTGAGCCAGCCATTTTAATTTTGTTGTGGGTTATAAATTACCGACGATTTGCTGTATTAACCTTTTAGTATTATAAAAGAAGCCGTACATATCGAACAAATCCGCTTCTGTGGGCCGCTCCGTCTGCGAGAGAACGAATCCCGCCGAAGCGACGATCCGACCTACAACACCGCGATCAATACAGCCTACATTTCTAATGCGCGCATGATCTGACGCCACCGCTGCAATGGAAACCACTCCGCTGCGTTGCGATTTGCATTAGGCCCCGCGCCCCATCAATAAGCGAGCGCACTTCCCGGCTCAGGCGCGACTCGCCGCCCTCGCCGCCCTCGCCGCCCTCGCCGCCCTCTCCGCCCTCGCCACCCTCGCCGCCCTCGTCCCGTCCTCGCTGCCCTCGTCCCGCCCACACCACCGGTCACACCGCCGTCGCTCTCACCACATACATCGCGCAGTGCCTCTGACCGGGAGGTTTCGTGGCCCGAAGTATGTGGTTTCGTGGAAGGAATTTGGACACTAGCTAGGTAGCTATAGATCGAATCCCACTGGAGAAGAATTCTAGCGATTGTCTGATCTGATCGGCAATTTTCTGTTGTCCCTCCGATCATCACCAGGCGAATGCTGGAGCAATACTCTAACAAACGGACCACTCATCCTCGTCTTATACTCACACACATTTTCATGCACTACACATGACGGGAGACCATTCGGGAGCATAGAGCTTGTCCCAGCTGAGGAGGTGCCTCTTTGGTGGGATGTAGTACTTGGATGGGAAAAGCCCACAAACTGACACATAGGTCGGCGCTGGATCCGCCCTTAAGCGCTCGAGGCTCACCCAATTCCATGATACAATATTGCACTACACTAACAGGAATAATAACCAGATTAAAGTACACTTACAGGACCGTAACAGTTGATGCGCTCGGAAATACGCAATAATCAATCAATCACCACGTACATCACCCCCCCTCATGCTGAAAATTAATGAAACATTCATTCGGATGTTGTAAGCTCATATGAGTCATTGATTTCATCGTGATATCATTGGCTTCATTCTACGCCTGACGTGATAAAAAGTGATGTAGTTTATGAAACAAAATGTGCTTTGCTTTGAAATTCCTTTGGGTAGACATACGGAGTGCGTGGAT